GTCTTGTGTTAAGGTTTCTGCCAGTCTCACCAATGTAGGAAGCCTGGCAGTTGGAGCATTTGATCTTGTAAACTGCTCCCTGTCTGTTGTTAGGTTTGTTCCTGTATTTAATGTTGGTCAGTAAGTGTCGTAACATAGTTGTAAGTTTGTGGGCTACACAGATGTTGTAGGGCTGTAGGATCTGTGAGATGGTCTCAGAAGTGCCCTTAATGTAAGGTATCGTCACTGCAGTAACAGGTGTTGGGTTCCTGTTTGTTACGTCAGCTTCAGTAGGTCAGTAAATGTTTCATCTAATAAAGTCAGTGTTGTAGTTATTTTTGTCAAAAACATGTTCAAGGTATCTGCTTTCGTCACGTAAGCTGTCCAGTGTATCCCAAATTAGTTTCACTGGTCTTGTCAAAGTCGTTATAGTTGTGGCTTTGTGTGAAGTCGCATTGTACATGTAGGATGATTTGTCAAGTAATCTATCGGTATGTGTCGGTTTTCTGTACGCTGTTGTTTGCAGTTCGTTGTTGTCACGGCTTATAAAAGAGTCTGGAAAAGGAAGTTTTCCATTTTCTTCGATCTCTTTAGTAAACTGGATGTTGGTGTTCTGTTCGTTTAGGTGGTTGTGAAAGTCATCAATTTTGTCTTTGTGAACGGCGGTAAAGGTGTCGTCAACATAGCATAACCAAAGCAGTATCATTTGTCAGCAAGTTGCAAGGACGCATTCCTCCACGTGTTGCATCAAAATTTCTGCGACAACAACAGAAACAGGCAACCCCATGGATGTTCCATGCAACTGTTTGAGGTGTTTACCTTTGTACTGAAAGTAAGTCGATGTAAGGCAAAGGTTCAGTAAGTCCATGATGTCTTCTGTCAGTAATGGTAGTTCAACAGTAGATTGTTGTATAGCGGTTTCGGTACACTGTAATGCCAATTGAAGTGGAATACTGGTGAACAGTGATTTCACATCAAAAGACACAAAGTTGTAGTCGTCAGGTATCTGTACTGTCTTAATAGCATCAATAAAGTTCTCTGTAGATTGTAGTTTGCATCTTGATCTATCAGTAAGGGGTTGCAGTATGATTGTCAACTACTTAGACAGATGATACATAGGGGACCCACAGAATGACACTATAGGTCGCATTGGTATACCAGGTTTGTGCAGTTTCAGCAGTCCGTAAAGTTTCGGTGGTTGTGGCACTGAGCACCTCAGTCGATAGTAGCATTGAGTGTCGATAGCATCAGTCTTTTTAAGCGTAAGTATTTTGCTGTTAAGTTTAGGTTGAAGTGCTGGCGTCAGGTCGTGTTTAAGTTCTTTGTAAGTTTGTTTGTCGTTAACAAGTGCGTTCATTTTGTCAAAGTAGTCAGTCTTGTCCATAACATCAGTGACATGTCCTCTGTCAGCTGTTAGTATAACAATGTTGTCATTTTCAGTCGTTTCAGTGCTTGTTGTTCGTCTTTTGTCAAGTTATTGTCAGGTATAGACGCTGGTTATATCATGGATTGAAGCAATTCTGTTTCTGATGTTATCCTTGGCAGATTCTGATCTCCCTGTCAAGACAGAACCGCCTCAACACTAGATACAATTGATAGACTTGGTTGGTATCCGTTTAGGCGTCACTGAGTGTTTTAGTCCGTAGGACAGTATGTGAGTCTCGATTTGGTCTAAGGGACAGGAAGAAATATTCCCGACCCAGTTATCTTCAGTTTTCGGTCATTTTTTGTCTTTATTGCGTTGAAGTCTAGTCAGTTTTCGTCCTTGTTCAGTATGAACGTGGTCTGTGGTTTTGTCAGCTCGTCTGCTAGCGATTGTCATAACAGTGTCAAGTAAATTAGTCGGTGATAGTTGTTTAAGTTTGTCAAGTTGTTGTTGTAGTTTATTGTTGCAGTGAACGTAACATAGTAAATGGTCTGAACCCAGGAGTATCAGTAGTTCGAATAGTGTGATCGTCTGGGTGAGGGTAGTTCTGAAAAGAACTGTTGGTGACTGACGTTTTGACAACCTGAGCGGAAGTCATCTTCAGAGTCAACAGACCAGACTTATAACATAAGTGACTGACAAACACTATTCACTTGACTCAAAAGATGATTTCTGCTCAGGTTGTCGAAACGTCAGTCACCAACAACAGTTCTTTTCAGAACTACCCTCACCTGGACAATCACACTATACGAACTACTTATAATTCTAAAAGCACCTAAAAATGACCTGGATTGCACAGAAATAATTCTGGACTTGGTGAATAAATTTTGAACACAGTGACAACAAATTATTTTGGACCCAAAGAGTCAAACAACTTTTGAAAACAAGAAGAAATAATTTTAACTACAGACAATCAAATCAAACCTGAGTCTCTGTGGCTAAACACAGTGTCTCTACAACGAGACCATCAAAGCAAACGTTGAATTAAATAGGGCCAGAATTTAAGTTAGCTTAATTTGCACCTTTAAAAAGCCAAAAAAGTCAAAAGCCAAAAAGGGAAAAAGCCAACCCCTCCCCGCCTCCCCCCCAAAAAACTGGCAATAAATGAAAACAATGCATCTTGAACAAAAAGTCCAATCTTGTGGATAGTTGGTTTAAAGAGAAATCAATGCAAAACTGTACAATAAAATTTAAAGCTGTTTTGACTAGCCATTACTATTTTTGTGCCTTGAATACACACATGAGCACAAGGACACAGCCAGAATTATGTCTTAAATCAAGGTCTCTGTCCTTTCAACTTCTGCCATTGCACTCTGGACTAACTGAGATTGTCAACAAATCTTGACTGGTGGAGTGCATCACTCTTATAGAAAACTGGTAGCCTAATTTACAGATTTTGACTTGGGAAACTTCAGAAAAGTAACTGAGAAGGCTGAAAATTTCTTGTGCCCAATCATATGAGTTAAACAAGCCACATTTAATGACTACATGTATCTTCAGTCGACTGGCTTCTTTTCTTATAACCCAGTTGCTGTACTAATATCTTGCATACATATCCTGTTCAGCTGGATTCCAAAATCAGTTTACCTATACCTATAGCTATATCTCTCCATGCCATAAGGCATATGAGGCTTTGACATTCCCCATTCATCGACTTAGATTTGTTGCTAGAGCTATGGCAGTCGCCCACCTTTCTTCCTCAACCATTGACTTCATGTTGTTTTGGGTCGACCTGGTGTTCCCCTGACCTCTGGACTCCACTCCCATTCTGTAACACAGTGCTTCTCAATCCTTCTTCATTATATGTCCATGCAGTCCAGTTCCATCCTTGATGGCTGATCTGATAACTTGCAAAATTAGTTTACTACAAAACAAATATTAAAAAAAAAACAGTTAATATAAGTTGTGATACCCATATTTTTCTGATAACTATTCTTTAGCTGGCATTGGGGAATCCTTTTTTACAATATTTGCCTCAATAAAGTAAATGGTCGCACTGTGTGTCACCGAAGTGTTGTGTCGGACTTAAAGACGGTGCGAATGCCTTGTTGTTCTAGGCACTGGCGGAGAGACTCCGAAACTCCTTGGACATAAGGTAAAATGGCGGTGGATTTAAATTCCACAACAGGCTCTCTTCTTGGGGTTGTTCATGCCTTTGTGATCTTCTGTTAAAAGAGGAGGGATATCTGTTGGACACAAGTACAGATGACAGATGTTTCTTCTCTCCAGCGATTACTGATTGTTTGGTCACATACATACATACGTTTAACCCGGTCGTACACCGTCTTTAAGTCCAACAGGACACTTCAGTCACACTTAGTCTGACCAAAGGACACCGTCAACCCAGCTAAACAGGATGGTGTTGTCTACAGGATTCCCTGTGAGTGCGGCAAAGTCTACATCGGGGAAACAGGGAGGTCTATGCAGGAGAGGATCAAAGAACACGACAGGGATATACGACTCGCCCGTACCCAGACCTCCGCCGTTTCTGAACACACCCACG